GCAGCTGAATCTAGGAATTGTACAGGCGTGCAGATTGTCCGCGCTAACCCGTTTAAGGACGTTGAGTCCACAGACCAGATGAACAAAGCAAACGAAGGATTGATGCATGAAAACAAATAGTACAATTATTTACAAGGGCAAAGGAAACTGATACAAGCTGGGAAATTTTCTTTCCCTTCCCAATATCCAGTCTTGTTTGGAGTTTGGGATGAATTAAGCAAAAGCTACAACATCATGTACAGAGATACAAACTGTTTTTAAAGAACAAGGGCCCCGAAATCCCTATGGATCGGCTTGACCTGCCACTTGATCATCACAAGAATCAGATTCAGCATCACTCATTTCCTCGTCACTTGATTCTTCTTCCGGGGCAGCTCCTATATCCTCAGGCTTGGCATACTTCAGACAGAATTCTGTACAATTGAGCAACAGTATCGTCATGTCCAACGTTACAAGGAATGCAAAGCAAAACAGATTCCAATCTATGGAGGATCGATACATGCACAATTCGTGTTAGTATCGGTCCTTCATACACTTACACTAAACTAACGTCATTGACATAGCTGAATCCAATAGTTGCTAGCCTGTTTGTGTTTAAATTAAGAATTCGATTTGCGATGGACTTGTAGGAGTAAGAGAAGCATTATTATGTCAACACTCTGAGGTTTATACCCCCGGAAACGAAAGGCTTAACACTACTCGAAACATTTTATTTGAAGAATCCATGTTCTGATTAGCACTAATCTAGTAATCTTGACACGGATATGCTGAAGTCAAAATATAAGTAGAAAAATATGGACAACAGATACATGATGACAGGGAGACACGAAAGGCTTAACACTACTCGAAACATTTTATTTGAAGAATCCATGTTCTGATTAGCACTAATCTAGTAATCTTGACACGGATATGCTGAAGTCAAAATATAAGTAGAAAAATATGGACAACAGATACATGATGACAGGGAGACAAGAACCTAAAAAACAATCAATACCTTTAACTCTTTGTTCATAAGCAGGTCGGTCACGCATCATCAAAGCTGCAGCCTCTCCGTTTAAAGGGTCAGACGGATTGGGATACAGCAGAAGCTGTGGCAAGAACACTTCAAATACGTTTACCAGATCTGGAAACACAGGCAGATCATGTAACACCAATAATTTCAACAGTAAAACTTGGATTTCAATAGAAAAAATAAGGCTACTTAAATGTGTTTACCAAACATGGGGCTCCACGTCTGATTGATAACATCTAAACAAACTGAGCCCGACCTGAAATTAGATTCCGTCGTTATAATTAGAATTGGACACTATTCCTCTTTTCATTTAATTAACAGCGCTACGCAATTTAGAATAGTAGGAATTTATGAAAGTTAGTACTCACATCTCATCAACATTTGGGTGGTAGATCTTATTGACAAAGCCTATTGAGGGAGATTTATAGGGATAAGCATCTGGTAGCTCAACTCTTATCCTCCACACACCTCCCTGATAAATACCTGCCACAATCCATGATATGGACGAAATGGCGGGATTACGCGATGAAAAACAAATTACGGGCAATTCAAGTAGCTATTTTGCAAACCAAAATCATCAAAGCCAAGTAGAGCAATGACCATTGACCAAACAACAAATTCCATTAAAACTTGTTATCAAACACATTTATAACAAGAAACCAAGAGCAAGTTTGTTTCTTTGTGATCATTAAGTGACCAGATTTCTTCTAAATTTGCAATCAAAAAAGCAAATTCCAAAGCAGCATAGTGTTTTTATGGCAAAAGAATCCTCAACTGATAACATCTATAAATTAGCTAAATCAATAAATAATCATAATTAGCAAAAACCCAAAAACAGAAACAATCATAAATAGAAGAAAAAATTCATGGAGAAGCTCTAAAAATCAGAAAAAAAAAGATGGGGGTTTTGAAGGTTTACTGTCAGTGGGTCCATGGAAATCCACATAGAATTCATGCATTCCATCATTGATCATTTCCACCTTGTAATCACTCATCATCCTGATAGAACACATGGGAAAACAGAAAATTAAGAAAGAACAAAAGAAAATTTTTAACCAGAAAATTGACAGAATATTAAAAAAACAAAAAAAAAAAACTTGGATGAGAAAGTATTAATCAGAAAATTCACAGTTTCATCAAGTCCATCTCTCTGCGTTTGCTTGGGGAAGACATGGTTCTGGTGTCAAGTCAATTTCTGTGTTCTTCGTGGCTATGAGTTGAGAGAGAGAGAGAGAGAGAGAGAGAGAGAGAGAGAGAGAGAGAGATGAGTTTCTTGCAAACTGAGAGAACCGAAAAAGGGTTCAGACAACAATAAGTGAAAACTAGAAGATAATCAAATTAAAAATGATAGCTGAAATTTTCTTGCAGGACCCACATTTTAAAAAATTTTATACTGATTTTTTTTAACATGGGTTGCATTGCACTTTCATGAAAGATTCCTCCTTTGTCAAAATAATCACTGTTCCCAAGCAGACCTAATTCAAACTCAACTGATTAATTCAACATTACTCCACACCTCCTTGCAAATTCCCATAACATCATTAATTCTTATCCTTTCCAAGGTTAAAAATTAATAAAAATGGCAAATCACTGTGACTAGTTGTTGACGTCGTATATTGGCTAATCCGTTATGATATCATAAATAAAATTGTTTTGTTTTTTTTTAAATAATCAATTAGCAATGTAGAAATAGTTGATCCCCTTTGATATGGGGCAACTCTTACATCATCGCATGAACACGGGAACCTAATGGTTTGGACAAGACATTTTTTTATTTTTATTTTATAAATTGTGATGGGTTGTTTAACCTAAATCTCTAATTAGGTTTTTATTTTCTGTTGTCATGTATATTAAATTACCAAAATTGTTACTATAAAACATGTTAACATTTGTATATAAAACTGTTAGAAAATAAATTTATCATTTTACGTAGACTGGGAATATAGCACCCATTTTCTTAAAGATATGATCTTTAAGGCAATGGAAGAAGATGATGTGGGGTCAAATGTGTTCAAAGGCTTTCTAAAGTATATCTTGGGAAGTGGGCGAAGCACAATTTTAGACGTCGGGCGCTCCCTTTACGTTAAAAGATGGATTTTGACACAGAGAACGTAAAAGCATTTTTGATGAAGATGTAGTGTTAAAATGTTATTTGAAGCCTGATGTGGTAATTTAAAGTTGATATAAAAATTTCTTCCATTGTAAGGAGTGTGTTAAATTATTATTTTATTATATATTAGTCCCCGCTACTACAATTTTAAGAAAATATTATTTAAAATAGTTAAAAGTTGTAACCCATTGGTGAATTGTGGATCCCACACATTAAACAATAAAACAAACTCCATTTTTGATTGTTGTAATAAAAGACGGTTAGAAAGTAAGGAGTTAAATGATTCAGCTGCCATGTCATTATGACATCTCCATTAGAGAAACTTTGATGTCTTTTCATCTAAGTTGGCGTATTGACATCTTTTTTGAAGATGGTCTATTCCAACCTTTCCTCCCTGCCCAACCAATGCCCTGGGGTTCTAGGGCAAATTTTGGCTTTATTTTTTGGGACATTTTGCATCCAACAATGTTTACATTTTTGAAAGACTAATAGGTTAACAAGCTAGATCATTATGTTCTTGGATTTTGCTAAGTACAGTTTTTGGTGAGCGATTTTTTGACCATCGATTATTTAGAAATCTTACAAATTAAGCGTCAGAATCCGCACACACATACGTGCATAACTGAATATAATTGCGTGAGCAACTGATCGTAGCATATCTTTTGTGTTCATAAGCAACATGGTCCTAAAACAACATAATAACTTGAAATCCAAAGATGAAATGTCAAGTGGAACAAGTTATTGTCCCATGGGCCAAACTCAAACACATGTCCCCTTGGCCCCAAACCAAGGCTTGACAAGTGGAATATGACGTACAGAAATAGTAACCAAGTTTACAGCTTTGAAGTTGCTTGCTTCCACATTTGAAAGTGCTCTTTAAAGCGTATAGATATCAATCATTGACATGGAAGAAAATAGTTTTCAGAATTTGTACAAAAACTTTAATTGACTTCATTCTTTGTTTATGGGCTTTAAACTCCTGTTTAGATATTTATTTAAGCCTAAATTAAACTTCAAATCAATACAAATTAGCTGTTAGTATAGTGGTACTGCAAAAAAATAGTCTCCGGGTTTTAGGAAATAACTCACTGCATGAAGATCATTATCCTTACTCGAATTCTTTATTCCCATATCAAATTGATACACTCCATATGTCAAAGAGTCCACAAACAGTGTTCAACCTTGGATTCATTGAATCTTTAAGATATTAATTATCAATATTAATATATAAATCAAGTTGGTGGGCATTCTTTTTCTTCTATTCCCCTTAAGTGGATTATGTGAGGTTTGGTGGTTGTGTTAATGGAATAAACAAGTTGAAAAATCCATGCATTGTTGAATTTGACGATCGTGGACTCGTTTGAAAGTACTTTTAAAATGACATAAATTGTTTTTAAAAATAATGTAATGAGTTTTCAAAAGCACTTGCCACTTGCTTCAGCAAGAAGCACTTTCAAATGAGCTCCACACTACGATGAAGATTTTAGAGAATTTAACAAGTGGATACAAACCACTTAAACAAGACATTGATGTATAGTAGGCCTTCATGGAGAAGCATCATAGTCAATAAACAAGACATGATCTATGCCATGGTCAATCGCCCACGTGGCCACGATTCAAGACCTTGGATGCATGTATGCATCAAAGGTCAGAATTCGCAAAGTTCACGCGGTTGACTGACTTTTACATCCCTCAACAAGACATATACCTACATGTTCCAAGAAGTATCCCAATGAGCCACAAAATGATAATTTAACACATGCTATATAAATTGTAAAATGTAACCAAGTTACCAATTGAAAGCATTGATCAGCCTATCCAACAAGACAATGACAACCATATATATGACCAAAAGATCAATCAACAGATACATGCATAAACCAAAACAAAAATGCCTGAGCAAAATCCATTCAATTAACCAATTTCATAAACCACAGCAATTGCAATTACAAGTTCTATGATTGAGACCACTGTTTAAGGTCTACATCTAACCGCTTTCGCTGTTCCCTGTATTCATTCCCAAAGGCTTCTTTTTCAATCAGCTTTTGCTGTCAAAAACCTAAAAGAAACGTCCCCCAAAAATAAAAATAAAAACCTGCATCTCAGAAGATGAAGTAGACGAACCAGACCCAGAGAGCATCATTGCTGCTTCGAATCGCCACAGCTGCGCTTCCAAGCCCGTGTTCGTCATTAAACCGCTTCAAAATCACTTCTGAAAATGGACCATCTTTACCACGCATAATTTCTATTTCAAAAAGGCCTCGATGCCTCTTTCCTGGCATATTAAGGAAATATTCATATCAGACATTCACAAACATTGCTCAAACATACCAGGCTTCACAATCTCCCCAAAAGAGTGCACTTCAAATAGCTACCTGTGTTTTGCATGTGGCTTGTGTGGGGATTTTAAGATTGATTTTGATGACTTGTGTTCATCATTCCCAAAACCGTTAGTCATTGATTCCGACTCTAATTCTTCATCATCACTATCAATGTTGTTTGGAGTAAACCTGTTCTGGTATCCTCTACGCTGCAAGAGAAAGACATTGAAATAGTAGCTAACCAATTCTCTCCTGCTCTTCTTAGTAAAAGTCCTATATATCTCATCCCAAAAACGCAATCCAATAGATAGAGGATTTGACTTTACTAAGGCCTCGAACTTCTTTCCTTCTTCTGCTGTCCAAGGGAGTCCAACTTCCTCGCCCATCTGATTGAATTCCCAGTGGTAGAAAGCTGCCCCCAGTTCCCGCTTAACTCTTAACCTTTTCTCAGAAATGTGAAATCTGACGCATTCTATAGAACCTGGCACTTGGCATCCGCAAGATTCTTGTCTTCCCTTTCCAATAGGATCCCTCTCAATGAGATATCTGTGCTTTGGTTTTTCCAATGGCCAAATCCTGGACCCCAACCACTTTGATTCACTTTCAGAAGCCTCACCAGTCCATTCTGGCAGCTGAGCTTGATAATTTGACCCGAGAGGAATGTGGCTTGGAGAATAATCACTGGTTCCTCGCAACTCATCCTCCATCCCTGCCATGCCAGGACTATTTTTGTCCAAGTCACTGGCCGAGGATGACTCTGAACAAGGTCCTGATTGTGGTGTTCTCCCGTCTGAAAGAAGCTTCTTCTCCAACCTTAGCCTCTCTCTAAGATTGTAAGCGGAGCCAAAATTATCATCGTACATGCTTGGATGCATCCTCTGATTCTTCTATAAGTGGAAACATGGTTTCATGTCAAAAGGAAAAATAATATGAAGATAATTATGTAGTTTATTGGTTCAACCAATATTTGAATATAGCAACCACGGCACCAGATAGAAACAATATCAAACATAATTGGAGATACACCACCTCTTTGCAGGTACCTCAATATATTTAATTTTATCTGAAGGTAAAAATTGTCTTACAATTTGGGAATACAAAAGAAGCCACCGACTTAGCCCTAAAAGTGTTGCATATTGTGTAACAAACAATTCACTATTAACTAGCTGAGTACAACTAACTAACTAAGCAGACCAGTTTAAATAATATACCAGGAAGCATTTTCCACTAAGGGTGTTCATATTTAAGCAAAAAAATAAGGACATCCTTTTTCTACGTTGTAATCCAATGATGGGAACGGTTCAGTTTTTAGCTTCTCATGCAAGGATTATCCATGCAAAAAACTACTAAATCAGAAACTGCTTAGCCATTTAATTATCTTCATTGTCGTTTCAATTTTACCTAATTGTGACTTTTTTTTGCACATTTTAGATGACCAAACAGTTTACGATCTCAATGATTTTTTGAGGGATGATCCATGAAGAAGAGCTAAAATATGGACGGTTCCAATTGAACTGCATTGCAGGTAAAAATATAAGGACATCATGAAAATAGAATACACTAGCACACTCATCAGGTATTAACAGCATTTTCCAGAAAACAAAATGAGTACTATTGTTCATTTAATTATCTTTCCAGGAGAATAGAGCAATATCCTTTTTTAAAAATTAAAACAAATCCTGAAGTTCTATCGTATTCACCAGCATACCATATATAAATTGATAGGAATCCATTTTATCAAGAAAGGCATAATATTAACGAACAAATAACATTTCCATATCCCAAAAAGACACAAAAAAGCCAATAGAGGATTCAGTCCCAGCAATAAAGGTAATCAAATTATAAACATGACTACATTAAAGCGACGCATGCATGTTAGCACACACATACGCGTATACAACTTTAACCTGATAGATCTTACCAAATGCACACATGCAAGAACAGAATATTTCCAATTATCTAAAAAGTTATAGCACATAGCATATGTTGATATACCTGCCAGTTAGACTGTTCAGGACCTGAATCAGCATTCCTCTTCAGAAAGATAGCTTCTCGAGCCTGCAAAACCTGCATCCAGTTCTCCTCCTTCCCGAAGAACTTCCACTTTGACCTCTCTGGTAATGAACCAACTGAAGGATCACAAGGGTCCTTTGCAATCTTTTTAACCCAATTCAGCATACACAGTGATTCTTGCTTTGCTTCGCAAAAAGGACTCTTTTCTTTAACCGTTGAGGCATCCAAAATCATTACATGTTCATCGCTACTGTGATTTTTCTTCCCTCTACGCAATTCCCCCACCTCACTTCCACTGAATGACTCTCGCTTCCTTTTACAGAAAGAGTTCGCTTCTTCAACAGCAGATGGATCCAAAATCATGACTTCTTCAACAGCAGATGGATCCAAAATCATGACTTCTTCACCAATGTCATAATTTTTCTTACCTCTCCCCGATTCCCCCATCTCACTTTTTACCTCATTATTGTCACACAAATTGTCATCATCCTCCATGCTATTCGTCAAATCCACAAAATATTTCATGCCACAACCTGACAAAGGCACATTACCATTGCCAAATTTTCCAGCATTCAAAACATTTGCCACACTCATCGTATCCAAATCTAGAAATTCCTCACTAACACCACTTTTCTTGAGCCTACCCGAATCTGCTACTGCACTTTCCACCTCATTACTATCTTTAAAACTCTTAGATGACAATTCAACATGCGGGTAACCCCCGTCTTTCAATTTTTGGTCAGACATATCTGAGAAGAACTCTGTTAACTCCTCCTGCAAAGCCATCAAATGCTCACCCAAATCAATATCACTACTAGCCAAACTCCATTCCAAGTCCTTCTTTTCTATAAACTTCTCTAGCAAATACAAATACTTAACATAAACCAATTTCACAGCCCAGCCAAGACTCAAACCCAAGCCACACTCTTCTGCCACTGAATCCCAAACCCCGATTTCTGAAAGAACAAGAAACCCACCTCGCCTTCTTACAACCCAAAATAGTTTGAGCAAATCCACCCGCTGCCCATTACTGATCATCGGAGGCAAAGGCCGGAGCAGGTCTTGGGCACAGATCTCTTTCAGAAAACCCCCAAGAAACTGATCGAACCAGCATCGTAGCTTATCGGGCACGTAAAAAACGAACCGTTTTGGAGATTTCGGAGGCGGTTCAAGATCGGCCGAGGAACCGTCCGTCGGGTCCTCTTTCGGGGTTTCGTTGCAATCCAAAGCAGACTCCTCCGCTAACCACGACCACCCTGCCATGGATTCCGAATTCAAACCCTAAAAAGCAATTCGCTGGTTGGTTTTTTTTCCCAAAAAAAAAAAAAATAAAGATCCAAACCCTCAAAAACACAGAGGGCAATAGATAAACACTTCAAAATTCAAATACAATAAACGATTTTGACGACATAAACATGAAATTGGTACAGATTAAGCATCTGGGTCGGTGACGGAATATGGAATTTTGGCGGGAAAATGGATCTATATCTAGGGCATGAGAATGTTATCGAGTTTGAATTGGACCCCATGAAAATCTGAAATTTGTTTTTTCAGTCCCGCGCCCTTCTTTTATTGCAGGCATTGATGATTGGGTGTGCGATTGTGTGCGTGTGGGAGAGAAAGAGACGGCACAAAAATTTCCATGTTTTTTGAACAGAAAAAAATAGACCCACAATCCACAATTTAGGTCAATCTAATAATTTACGTCCTCACACACACACAATAGAGAGAGAGAGAGAGAGAGAGAGAGAGAGAGAGAGAGAGAGAGAGTCAAAGAGAAACCATACCAGTACTGGTGTTGTATTTTTTTGAGGGGTTTTTTGCATTTGATTTTTGGTGACTGAGCCTTTGCTTTCTCTTTGGGTGTTGTCTTCTTTAAGTCCTTGATGCTCGACACCTTTGGGTTTTGGCCTCTCTCTCCCTCTCTCTCTTTTCTTTACCCTTTGATTTGTTTGTCACCACTTCCCACCCCCACCCACACCCCTTTTGTTGAGGTGTGAGAGAAAAGAGAGAGACTTTTTTATGGAAATTAATAGGATTTTGAAAAGCTCATAGGGTTTTTGAGAAAGGGCCCCTCTATTTATACCTCACATCATCCCACTAACCTTGGTTAATCTTTTACTAGGTGGTTGAGTTAAGATTGGCTTGGGTTTAACTGATTGTAGTGGAGAAAATCCTTTTATCATTATTATTATTATAATTATAATTCTTTACTTTTTTTTACATTTCAATTCAAAAGTTCTTGTAAACTAGATCTAAAAAATATATGTATAGCTAAAAATAATTCTAAAATTTCTGAAGATGATGCGTGAATTTTTTGCAAGAAAGACAATATTACCTTCATTAAATGAGTAGAGCTCTCAAATATTCACACATGCAGCTCAGCATTCCTGAAGGTTCAAGCAGCTGCCTACAACTGCTCACAACTTTCTTGCTCGTGGCAAGGAAAAGTCAAGGGCATTAAATATAGGAATTAATCACCAAATCTCTTCTTTAATACATTTCCAATTGAAAATTGACTCTATCAAGTAAGTAATCTCTATTTCAGGGATGTTGGAGGAGATAGTTCCAACGTTATCCCAAGATATTATTTATCAATTAAGATCTTGAGAACATTCTTTCTTCGCACCTTGTCCAATAAGATGTTGTCACTTGTAGGATAAAACCGTAACATTGTGGCCAGCCCTGCCCTCCTATAAATACCTCTATCTCTACTAAATTTTGGTAAGCTTTTGCTACCCCTAAAAGCCCTAAACACTCACTCTTTTCCTAGAAACAAACTTAGGCTGTGGAGATTCATTGGTCCCCCCTCCCCACCTTGTGGACGCATGAGGCTTAGGTCTTTGATCAAATATTTTGATTGTTTTGTATGTACATTTTCGTCAAGATCGAAGACAACGGAAATTCGCTGCCACAATATAATCATGATTAATTGCAAAGTAATAAGTAAAGTAGATCCAATAAATCAAACCGCACCACCTAATCACCGCCACCATAACATTAAGTAAAGTAGATCCAATAAATCAAACCACTACACCTTTTTCACACCAAGATGAAACTAAAAGAAAACACTCTTCTATAAAGAGCAATCAAAACCCACAAACTCCTAGTGACTTTATAGAAATTATTAGATACAGTCACAATTAAAAAGGACGAAATAGTACATCATCCTGATATCTTGAAAGAAACCATAGCATTGCACCGGCTAAACTCGTAGTGTCATACTAGCTAATTCCTTACCTAATGCAAACTCAATAGATTTCACGCCTTGTAGCATAGTGTCGTACTGGCTAAATCTTTATCTTCTTTGTTTGAAGAGAAATGATAGTTATAATTCATTGATACGAGAAAATACGATTAAACAAGGGTACCAACTGAGTACATCTTTTCCGATGACCAAATCCTTAATCTAGAGAGAATAAGCACACAACAAGCAATAATTAAACCCATATAAAGCAACCACAATGAACAACACAAAAGAACCATCAGTATAGATCTACCACAATATATTAGTGGTGGCAAATCCAAAACCTAGAGACACATAAAGCCGCCGCCAAGAGCAAGGCCACACACAAAGCCACTGCCCTGAAAAGTTACATTTGAAAACCGATGTGGTGACATTTTTTTAAAAAGTTTTTCTCTTCATCTGATATGTCAAATTAACATTGTTCGTTGCCAAAAAGCATTTAATAATCTACTAAAACATAATCAGAAGTTGTTGTCAATGTGGCAGCAAAGGTGATGTTATGTTTGTTGGATGAACAAAATATCATGACATTTTATGAACTCCAACAGAGACATTTTAGGTTTCCACCAAGAGATGATCATCTATTGATGATCAACGGATTGGCTACAATGTCTGACTGATCATCTTTGACAAGTTTGCACTAGTTCATTCTAAACAGAGATGTCACATATTTTCTAGTGTTTCATGTGAAAATGTGATTCTTCGAGAAATATTATCATGTTTAGTGAATTTTCTGTATTTCTTCAACTGTAATACAGTAGAAGAAAAACATCATAGATTTTAAGTTTATCTCATATTGGATTCGTGGGGTGTGTTCAATCAAAGTTTTATTTAAAACATCTACAACTTAAATAGTCATTTATATTAAGACATATATAAAAAATTTAAAGAGATGTAGTAAAAAAATTGTAAGGTACCAACAAAAAAAACCCTTGAAAAAATAACACAAAAAAGCCTATAGTGATAATCCAAGACAAAAATAACCATAATGTTGTAAACATTCCTAATTTAAGTGTGATTGTGTAAATCCTAGATTAGATTTGATTCTAGTTATCCTTTCCTATTACAACTTGTATTACTTGGGGAAGAAGGAATATCTTCTCTCCTTTTTACTACTATAAATAAAGGCACAATGTAGGAGGGATAATAACACACATTCCCCTACAATTCTACAAACACATCTCTCTCTCTTCTCCTTGCCGCTGGCCCTCACTCTCCTTGTCAGATAAAATATACCACAACACGCTCCTACCGCTGCACTTAGGAATCTGACGTTGAAGAAATTTTTTTCTGCATCAAACCAGTTCATCCATATCATCACGCAATCAGGTTATTTCAAAACAATGGTTTTTATCTCGATGTTTTTGCAGCCCTAATAACATGAACATTCACCATAATGCATGACCCAACTTTACGTTTTTTGAATTTTAGATTTTACATAAATTGTGTATGCATTATATCCATAACTGTTGAATTATGTGAATTTGATATTTGTCATGAATTGCATCAAATATATGTATATGCATCAAATTAAAATTGTAAATGAATTGAATTAAAAAAATTAGAATCGGAAAAACTAGGGTTCTTTAAACCCGCGCCTTGCATTGCTCCATCCATGGTGATCGGCCATACAGTGCAAGCTACCAGCACCAGGCCAGCAGCCTGCGACGGCTTGGCAAGGCTAGCCTAAATATAGAACCCAGGCCGTAAGCCTTGAACCGAAACGGTGCGTCTGATACACCACTGTCCCGATCCACGGCCTAAAGCCCAGGTATCCCACGTCAATTTTTCTGATGAAGACACAACCTGCAGTTGTGCAATTTGGACAACCCCATGTTCTCGCCAACGATTTCTCGAAATTCTAGAAGAATTTCATGGGTTTTTTCGCTCGAATTCAATTGAATTCATTCAGTTCTCTCTCGTCAAGATCTCTTATTCGTCGACAAACACCTGGTTCTTTGACGAACCATGGCTTGCCTAACCTTGGAACGCCGCCTAATGCAACATCGTCGACTAATCCCGACGTTCCTCCTCGGCAATGCACACCCAGCACGCGCTGGGCTGCTATTTTGGTTCAACAACATAACCCTTTGGGCTTTGATTAGTCTCAGACCAATCTAAAACCAAAAACCCATTTTGGGCATAACAATTTCCGACCCCAATTGTTTTTCTCCAGCCCATGAAAAAAAAAAGGAAATTTGGGCTCGCCTGAAGCGGCCCGTGTGAAATCTTTTTTTTTTCTTTTGGGCTCTCCTGATGCGGCTCGGTTTATTCCCCTCTCCCCGTGAGCCTACAGCCCACCCGAGACACCCCTGCCTATACTTTTTGGGCCTGGGATACAAGGATAAAAAATTGATCAACCCACCCGTGGTTTTTTTGCCCTATATTTTTGGGCCCCGAGCTTCGATTATTTAATATTTTTAAATAATTTGGGTTTTTATATTTTTTCACCCACACTTTAATTTGGCCCGAAGTCCAAATAATTAATTCAATTATAATTATAAGACCTCAAGTTCTATTTCTTGAATATTATTGTTGCATATTTCTGTATATATTTGTGTTTGCCTGCACGAATATATGAACCTGAAGTTCATAATTAATTTGAAACCTGAAGTTTCTTACAAACATGTCTTGTTTGAAAACCTGAAGTTTTTTTTTTTTTTTTTTTTTTTTTTTTTTTTTTTTTTTTAACATCACCTATGAAAACCCAAAGTTTTTTCATGCAACATTAAACCAATACATGTCTAATATAACCTGTATGTTCTACTCCTATGTGAATGGATTGATTTTTCTCCATTACACTAACCACATCTTGTCCATCTATTTTGTGATAGGAACATGTCGAATTTGAACAAACTCGACTTCACCGCTTTGGAGGTCTCTGGAAGGAACTATCTCAAGTGGGTTCAAGATGTGAAGCTCCACCTCATTGCCAAGAAGTTACGTCTTGCTATTGAAGAAGAGACGGACAACCCTATTGGTGAAGCTGAAAAAGTCACTGATATAATCTTCATCTGAAGACATATCCATGATGCTTTGCAAACTGAATATCTTGCTGAGGAGGATCCACGTGCAATATGGGTCACTTTAGTTGATTGTTTTGATCAGCAAAATGACATATTCTTGCTTGAAGCAAGACATGACCGGCAACATTTGAGTTTCCAAGACTTTAAGTCTGTGAATGAATATAATTCTGAAGTTTGTTGAATCCGATCATTTCTCAAGTTTGTAATGAAACTTTGACCAAAGAGGATCTCCTGGAGAAGACCTGTTTGACATTCTCTACTTCTAATATTGTCTTGCAACAATAATATAGAGCTCAGAAGTTCACTAAGTTCTCGGATTTGATCTCTGTTTTACTTCTCGGTGAAAAGCAGAACCAGTTGTTGATGAAGAATCATCAAGGTTGACCTACTAGGGTTACTGTTGTGCTTGAAGTATATTATAGCATAAACCAACGCCCAAAACGCCAAAAGAGGC